AGGCTTTCTGGTGAATAAAAATACTGACATGGAGTACATCAAAATGGGAACAAACATTTACTTTATGGTTCAGTGATTTAAAAAATACTTAAATGTTCTCAATTTATTGGCTTTTATTAATTCTTCTCTCTTGTATAGTCCTTTTTTTACAGTTAGTTGTCCATGACCACCCCATCACAGCTATAATATAATGCTGAGAAAGATTTTTATGTAACCAAATAGTCTCAGTGTCAAAATGCTTTACTGATAGTACAAGCTGTAAAAACTTATGTATCAGTAAGTTCAAAATTAGAGTCTTATGCACACTGAGCATGCACTGCACTCCTGAATTACACCCTCAAGTCCTTATTAAAAACTTTTTCAGAAGCAAAGTTAAAAAAACAAAAACAAACAAAAATGCTCTTCAGACTTCTCACTAGACATGTCCATGAAGCCAGGTTGAGTATCGGGTACAAAACGTGACTGATACTTCATATTATTTGAAGCAGAAGAAATGACCACATCAGAATGCATTCTAAAAAATTTACCACTGTAATGTATGAATCACTTAATTAAGTTTCCTCCCTTACCTCTGACATTCTCATTAACGTTGTCTAATGTTGATTAATATTTGAGGGTCCACTGTACTTGGTAATCTGTAAAAGCTACCTATTAAATTCTCTAATTTTTGTTGTTGCTGTTTTGGGATGGTCCCATGGAGCCCAGGCTAGCTTCCAACCTGGTGTGTAGCTGAGGATGACGCTGAACTTTCTTCTGATTTTCCTGATTTTGCTTCCCAGGTGCTGGGATTACAAGTATACACCACTGGGATTGGATTTTGATTTTTTAAAAAAGCCAATATTGTGTCAGGAATGGTTGGTGTCTTTCTTTCTCCTCTTCATTTTTGTCTTTCAAAGGGACTTGTTATCTATCCCAGGCTGCCCTCAAACTTATGATCCTCCCACTCCAGTGTCCTGGGTTACGGTTGTGCATCACCATAGCTGGGCCTTTATTGTCTTTTCCCTGTGGAGTTTTCAAAAATCATATCTTTAATTAAGACTTTGCCTGTCTTGTGGGAGAATTACTAAGTCCTTAAAAATATCTACAAACCACAATATACATTGTATTTGCTATTTATCCATAATATTCCTTAAATATAATATTTATTAAATTATTTATTTGCTACATGTGGCATTTTTTTTAATTAGAGGATTTCATACACGAGGATACTGTATTTGTATCAGTTCCATCCCCTTTCCTCTCCTTTTTCTCCTGTGTCCTCTTAATCGCCCCTCTTCTTTTATATTTATTTTTGCTTTATGTCTACATATCAAATGTCTCTTTATTTCTATATAAAGATAGAGATATTAGATACATAATCCACCGAGTTCAATTAATGTTGTCCTTATGCACATGTGTTTAGGGTTAATCATTTAGCATTATGGACTCATCTCCACACACAAGTAAGCAAGCAAAACCAAAACACAGAACAGCAGCCACCAACTTGCCCGTAGCTCTTCATGTGGGTGTGGAGACATGTGACATTCTCCCCCATTCATGTTTGCACGCTGACTGGTGTGGTCTCGGCAAGTTTTGTGCAGGCAGCCATACTCTTGAGAGTTCATGAGAGCAACATTCCTGTCCTGTCTAGAGGAAATTCCCCTGCAGTAGTTGTCCTGGTCTCTGGGCTCTTGTAATCTGTTTGCCCCATATCTGTGATGTTTCCTGAACCTTTCATACTGAATTTTAAAAATACTCTTTCAGTTATAGTAATTGGAAGTATATTCCAATGATGGATCCTAAGAGCCAGAGTGTAGTGTACAGCCAGGAGTCTGGTAATGCTAACTGGAGACTAGGAAGTCTATTGAGTCAATATTTAGGTCATTTTTTAGATGGACTCATCTACACAGTTTGGTGCATGCTAATGGAAGTTGTTACTGTGATGTAGCTGTTCAGCTTTGGGTTTAACATTGACATCCTCTCTGTGTTTATGCTTTGTGGGGATTTCCCAGAGCCTTATGTCCACGTATTTTCTGGGAAGATCGAACCCTTGTGCTGTGGCACTTGCCTCTATTTTGGGGCTCTTCTCTTCCAGTTTGGTTTTCTCAGAGAAGACTTCAACAGCAGTGTATTGGAAAACAGCAGCCACACCCACAGCTGCCACCGTGTGAACAGAACACTTTCGGCTTGCTTGCTCCTCACCGGGCTCCCTGGGGGCATAGGAGGTCACAGTGGGTCAATAGCATCTTGGCTCATAGATCAGAGTGCACCGTTCTGGACACAGGCCTACTCCAGTGTTGTGTTGAGGATATAGACTGTTTAAGTCAACAGAGCAAAAGGAGCAAAGCATTTTTATTGTCCCCTTTCCCTGTTGGCCTTTTGTTTCTTCCGTATACATGGTTTCTCTCAAGGGACACCAACTGTCCTTTAGATCATCCTATAATCTGAACTGTGTGCCACTGAACACAAAGTCTTTTTAGTGGGGACATTTTTTTTTTTATCTTACTTCATCTTTTTTCTTTGAGATAGGGTCTAGGGTATCCAAGGATAGTCTTCTGATCTTGCTTTCTCTGCCACCTCCTCTTCACCTCCCAATCCCCCACTCTCCACCCCCTACTCCCATGGCTCTTCATGCCCTTAGCTTTGTCTGTAATAAACTGAGGGAAATTCCTCTTGGATTTTTCAGATCAACTGAGCAGCATCTTTAAGTCGCAGTCTTAGACATGTATACACCTCCCTTTTGGTTCTGTGAAAAGATTTAGTGTGTGCTTAGAGAGATCATCTCAAAACATTCAAAGCTCTAGTGAACGTTTCTATCCAAGCTATGTACTGAGAAGTTCTTTAGTTAAAAATGAAATAAATGCTAGCATGTGAATCATGATAGTAATTGCAGGGCTGGGGAGGTGGCTCCATTGGTAAGATGCTGAGTTTAACTTCCAGGTCACATGTAAAATAAAAACCAGGCATGGTGCTGAGAGACCAGGAGTTAGACAGACTCCCCAGTAAGCAGAGATAGGGAGAAGGGCCATGGATAGGTAATAAAGTTGGTGAATTTCCAAGATGGTCAGCTTCTTCCTCAACTGCCTGACTTGAGATGGAAACATGGAAACTTTTGTCTCCCACCACCGGGGCCCCTGCGGATGGACTGGCTGGACAAGGTCCAGGCTGAATCAGGACATGTTGCACAACAGTTGCCCACCAATCAACATCCTATCTGTCTCCAAACTGACCAACCCTAAAGTAGGGGAGGATGACTCTTCAAAGGTTTAAAAACCCCAGACCCCAAAAAGAGACTGGATTTTCACCTTCCAAGTCTCTCTCCTCCGTGCTTTGCAGAGGGTCCTTTTTTCTTTGTGTTTGCTATGCTGGTGTTCACTCACCCTCCAATAAACACCTTTCTTTCATAAGCAGATTCTGTCTGTGGTGCATGAGATTTCTCTGCTGCTACCTGTTGCACTTCAGATTTTTTCCTGTATTTCCTGTATTTCCTGGCGGAGAAAATGAACCCAGTGAAGACCCCTACCTAGACTGTACCATCTGTTGGCTGGATCTGTAGTGTACACTTGCAACCCCAGCACAGGTGACACAGACTAATGGCTGGGACTTGATGGCCAGCCAAGTAATCACTGAGCTCCAGGCCAGTAAGAGACCCTGCTTCTGGGCTGGAGAGATGGCTTGGCGGTTAAGAACACTGACTGCTCTTCCAGAGGCACTGAGTTCAATCCCAGCAACCACATGGTGGCTCACAACCATCTGTAATGAGATCTGGTGCCCTCTTCTGGCCTGCACATATACATGCAGACAGAATACTGTATACATAATAAATAAATAAATAAATAAATAAATAAATAAATAAATAAATAAATTAAAAAAAAGATACATTGTAGGCATATATAAAATTGCCTATGGATAAATTTAAAAGAGACCCTGCTTCAAAAAACAGGGTGGATGGTACCTGAGGTACAATACCCAAGGTTGTCATCTGGCTTCTAAATGTAGGCCCACACATGAGCACCTGCTCACCTCCCTGAACATGCACATTTACAAACATACACAAGTACACACACACACACACACACACACACACACACACACACACACACACACACGGTGCATACATTTCTGTACTACCTATACTAATTGTGTGATTCTCTAGTTTGAAGGCATGATCTTGATTGAATTCAGTCCCTTGATTCACTCATATTGGAGCTCTGCTTCTCCCCACCCCTTCAGATCCTTAAGGAAGTAATATAATGCACTGTCACACTCAGTGAGTAAGTTGACAAATTTCCCTGCAGCTTTGTGGTCGTTTGTTTACTAGTAGGTCATTGTTTTCAAAGATGGGCTGTGTTTTTGGCATGATTTTAAACATTTGTCTGGAGTTTTTGGAAACAGTCATTATTCTCACTAATGACTGACCCTGGGACACTACCGTTTCCATTCAAGTTCCTTCGATTTTATAGTCATACCTTGTATTTTATAAGAAACTTAACTATTCAAGCATCTTTCACAAGGATTTGCTTTTTTTTTTTTTAATTAATTGAGGCTTCCCAGGTGAGGATGCTCAACTTCATTCTGCTCTGTAAGCCATGTAAAAAACCAAGAGATAGGAACAGTCCTGTGACATAAGTTACAGATATTTATTGGGATTTTCTGTTTCTCCTAAGCATCCCCTGTGCATGGTCTTTCAATTCTGGATTTTCTACAGAGACTATTATTCTATTCTTACTAACAGGAAGGTTCAGACTCAGAAGAAGTGAGCACATGGTCACAGTGAATGGAAACAAGAACCATATACAAGTACATTCTGGGAGTGGAGAGGAATAGCCAGAGAAAGATTGTGCCCAAGAGAGAAATCTTAAGTTATGATGAGCAGTAGGGATGTCCTGTGCTGGGAGGCAGCCTGGTCAGGGATCTAGGTGGCCCTCAGTAGAAAGAGTTGTGGAGGTATAACCTTCAGTAGAACTTAGAACCTTCTCACTTAGAGCCTTCCTTCTGTTTTGTTCTTTTCATCCAGAAGAAGCTGCTCCAGGGAATTCCAGCAACAGCAAGAGGGGTTTGAAATTTCTCTCATTATGTAGGGTTTTACATCTTGCCATAATCAAACAAGCTCAAGATGACCATTAAACGCTCCTACAGGACAACATATTTCCCCTTTTATCAGGCCATTGTCTTTTAGTTGTTGTGGTAAGTAAAACGTTCCTAGTCTGGTTTCCTTTGGGTAATCTTCCCCTTAAAACAATATAGTTTGGCAATGTTAGGTCCTCACATCCTACTTTTCTAGTACAATATTATTCAATGAGGAGATATTACCCAAAGGAACAATGCTTAAATGATAAAGGATTGTAAAGAGAGGCAGAGCCTTTTGTCCTGACTGCCTGGTCCCAAATAACACACAACAGCTTATATTAATTACAGAATGCTTAGCCAATGGCTCAGGGTTATTACTAACTAGCTCTTTCATTTAAAGTAATTAATTCTATTACTATTTATTCCATTTCTATTAATCTATGTATTGCCACATGGCTGTGGCTTTACCAGTCCTCTGGCATGTTACTTTTGGGCAGCTGGCTCACACCTCTTCCAACTCTACCCTTCTTCCTTTGAGTCCTCAGTTTGATTGTTCTGCCTAACCTTATCCTGCCTTGCCATAGGCCAAAATAGCTTTATTATAAACCAGTGAGAGCAATACATAGTCACAGCATACAGAGGAGTTATCCCATGGCATTTCCCCCTTCTGTCTAATCAAAAAGGAAGGTTTTAAGTTTAACATAGTAAAATTACATATAACAAAACAAGTTATCAACAAGAATTAATGTTACAATATCTAGTCTATTTGTATTTGACAAAATCAGTAACTTCAGGGGATTACTTTGCTGTTTATTAACAAGCAAAATCCGTGCACAATAATTATAAGACAGAATGGGGAATCTGCATGGTATTATCAGCTACTGTGCAGCTGGCCATGCTGCTGCTTCCTTGTTCAAAAAAGGACCTGCACCTCTCTCTCCCCTGCCTTATCTTTGGCTATGTCCACTCTCAATGAATCTCCACCTCTCTGACCCAAATTTTTCTATTGATTAGGTGACAGGATTCCTGTAACACAGGATAAATAATTCTGAGTGTCTAATGTACAGCATGGTAGTTATATTATACGAATAATATGTTAAATATATTATTCAAGATTTTCAAGGAGAACAAGGTTCTTATGCACTTCCAAAACCTAGACACATGGCCATTATGAAGTGTTGGATATGTTAATTAGCTTGACAGTGGTAATTATTATGCAGTCTGTATATATTTTAAAAATGCACCATATTATATGTCTTAAATATATATAATTTTTGTTTGCAACTGTATTTAAAAGACAGATGGAAAAGAAGGAAGTTTCTGCAGTAATGAACATGCCCTGTATTTTCTCTGTTCCATACAGTAACCACTAGTCACGTGACTGTTGAGTACTTTGGATGTAGCTAATGTGACTGCTGGATTGAAACAAAGTTTACTTAACGTGAGTTAATGGAAATTTAAACTTAAATAACTAATTAGGGCTAGTAGTTATCCTGATAGCCTTGCTCAAATGTCCATCAAATACAAAACAAATAAATAAACAAACCCCATCCTGATAGCCTTGCTCAAATGTCCATCAAATACAAAACAAATAAATAAACAAACCCCAGATTTCCTAACTTAAAGTTACCTATCAGCTTGTTTTTCCTACTGGATCCCTATGAGCAAGAAACTTTTCCTTCTGTGCCATCATGTGTTCCCTCTTTCTTCTCACCTTACAGAGTTAGCTTTCTCTCTGATCACTCATGTTCACATTTTTTTCATCATCACCTGCTTGTGTCTGGTGGAAATTCAGTGCTTTATTAGAGAATGTTCTCCTAGGAGAAAGCTTTTCCTCCACCTTCCCCCACAGTTCACAAAAGCTGCAAAGCACTGTTTCCCAACTAGCAGAGTACTAGCCTCTGGGGGCCTGAAAGACAACGTAAGTGGTGCTAGTGAGAGCATTTGCACAATTATACTACTTATTTTTGTTTAATGGATAGTAGAACCATGCAATTAGCACTTCAGATGTGTGATTTCATGGATATTACTGCTTAATAAGAAACTAAACTAGGCATTTATGTTTTAGAGAGTCATTTAAATATTACGTTAAATAAATAGTAGTACCATTTGTTTTTGAAATGGCCAAACTCTGGGAAACACAGCTATTAAGTAAACTTCTGTACTAGCTTCGCCTATGGATGCCTATACTCCACATATGTGCCTATCTTTGTCAGGTCTTTGTTGATTTGGTTACTGCCTTGAGTGTCTATCTGTTCTTGACTCCTTAACTCTCCACCAGGAAAATTCTACCATGAACCCTTCCTGCCTCCTCCCTTCCTCAACTTTCTCATAAAGCAAGCGTCCCTATCTTGTATCCTTGTGCTGATGCACCCTTTCAGGGAAACATTCAGCACAATTTGGTTTCATTGGTTTATGATGATATGTTTTTCTCACTAAACTAAAATTATGTGAAAGCAGGGACATTGTTTTAATAATTTTTATGCCTTAGAGTATCTGACTTGTACTAAGTTCTTAAGCTTTGTCATGGAATAAACACAGTTTTAATGTAAACTTTACTATGTGAAGCCAATTTTTAATCATCGTTCTCTTTTTCTCTCATAGTTATTGTAATTGGAGGAAACTTTGGCCACCAGAGGTTAGCAAATGCACAGGAAACCAAAGGGGAATGATGATCTGAAATATGTGTGAAAATTTCTCAAAGTTTTCCAAAACTAAACCAAAACTAAAATAAATGTTTTAAATTGCTTGACTTTTTCAAATGAAAAAATTTAAATGATTTAATTATATATATATATATATATATATATATATATATATATCCTGCATACTGAAACAGTTTGGTTTGAATTATGAAACTTCATGCATCTTTCACCAAACAATTTTCCAACTGTACTCATTCCTTGATATTCTTGATAAGAAGCCGCTTTGGGGAGGAAGGGCTTATAGTTTACAGTTTGCAGTCTGAGGGGTAGGGTCTGTCATGATGAGACAGCCATGGAAGCAGGAGTTCAGCTTGATTTTTCTTTTTTATGCAACCCAGGGCTCCAGCCCATGCAACGATGTTGTTCATTATTATGTCAGGTTGTGGTGGTTTGAAAGAAAATGGCCCCCAAAGGGAGTAGCACTATTTGGAGGTGTGGCCTTGTTGGAGGAAGTGTGTTACTGTGGGGGCAGGCTTTGAGGTCTCTTTTTCTCAAGTTTCCCTCAGTGTGATAGTCAGTCAACTTCTGTTGCCTGTAAGATCCAGCACTCTCTCAGCTCCAGCACCACATCTGCCTGCACACTGCCATGTTACCCTTCATGATCATAATGGACGAACCTTTGAAACTGTAAGCCAGCCACCCACAATGAAATGTTTTCCTTATAAGAGTTGCCATGGCCATGGTGGTCAAACCCAAACTAAGACATGGGTCTTCTGGTTTCAATGAATGTAATCTACATGAGCCCTCACAGACATGCCTAGTCACTTCCGTCTTCTATGATTCTAGGTCATGTCAAGTAGACGGTATTAGCTCTTACACCAGCTCTCTTACATATCTGCTCATGCCGTGGGTTCCTCTCTCATTAGTCATAGGACCTTCCCATAAATAAGTTACTCAAACTTAAAATTAACTTGGAATTTTTATGATGATGTGCATTTTGAAGTTGTTGAAAATAAGAAATGAATATTAAAAATAGAAAATAGATAATCATGTATAGGTTTTTGTTATCAAGGTCAGGAAATGAGATGTATAAACAACGTATAAATAAAGTGGATTTTCATTTGCCTCCTTTTGTGAATAATGTCATTTCTTATGTGTAGTACAATAAAAGTGGGCAAGATAGCCAATGTTTATAGGAGCAATTTCTGTTTATATATAAAGTCAACTACATTATTTTTAAAGGGAGCTTTTGGACTATCTTTGATGTTTTCCTAACTTCAACAGGCAGCATATTGTTTAGGAGATATCTCCTTGAATGCCATTTCCTCCATCCTTAAATAATGTCCAGTAGATGAAGCCTGGTTCTGGGTAAGCAAAACACTCACAACACAAACTTGAAATTTTTTGTACATTTGTTAGAAAAGTAGGTAGAAGTTTTTTAAAGATAAAAAGAGCTTAGAAATACAGGAGAAATTATTACTGGTTGAAAGGTAAGCTATTCACTTATTTAATGTTTAAAATACAAGGTTGAAAGGTATATGCTAGTTAATGACTTACTCTCATTGATTTTTCAACAGCCCATTGGCTTGTGCAAGCATAAAGGGAAAAAGAAAAATCTTCTTTCTATATGACACAACATGAAGTTGGGAAAGGCATGTGAGGGGGTATGATGGTTTGAATAAGAATGGTTCCCACGGGCTCATATATTTAAATGTTTAATCCTCAGGGAGTGACACTATTTGAAAGGATTAAAAGGGTGCAGAGGTGTGGACTTGGAGTAGGTGTGGCCTTGTAAGTGTGTCACTGAGGGTGGGCTTTGAAGTTTCAAACATCCATGCCAGGCCGAGTGTCTCTCCTCTCCTGCTGACTGTGTACTGAGATGTAGAACTCTCAGCCATTTCTCCAGCACCATGTAGGCCTGCCTGCTACCATGCTCTAAGATGGGGGAGGGTGGTCTGAGAGGAGTTGGAGGGGGAGGGTCAGGAGTAGAAAAAAATCAAAACACATAATACATATGTGTGAAATTCTCAAAATGAATGAACACGTTACATAAAATATTACATTAATTTAAAACAAAAGAGTTGACTTCTAGGGGAATTTTCAGAGTTTTCGGGTTCTTAGGTGTGGTGGGTTTTTGTTATTGTTGTTTGGGTTTTGCTGTTCTGTCCACTAAATACAAGTTGCAGGTCTGGATTTTCAACCCTGTTACTTCTGCCTATTAAGATTGTTTTAGTGATTGGACATTATATCCCTTTATGGTGACTCACAGACGCCTCAGGACAAAGACAGGATGAATGTGGGCCTGGTGACGTGCTTCCCTGCCTTTTATTGGAGACAGGGTCTCATTTCTCACTCTGGCCTGGACTTCTTTTCTTACTGTCACCACTTTCAAATGCTGGGATTATAGATATAGACTTTCATATGTAGCCCCCACATATTATTTTCTGCCACAGAGGATTGAACCCAGGGCTTTGCACATGCTAGGCAAGTTTCCAACTACTGAGTTGTAGCCTCAGCTTGGGTTGCTTCATTTCATGTGTTTCCTTTTCCTAAAGAGTCATTGCATTGGCTTCTGCCTTACATTGACTTTTGTTCGAGATCTGAATCATCTTTTAGAATAGCTCAGGGGAAATAAATACCAATACTATGCACTCATATGTCTAGATCAACCATTTAATAAAGAATACATTTTATGTCAAATTCCTTATATATACTTTATTGGTCTGCATGAGTCCTGGAATACATTTTTTATTGTTTTCATTTTTATAGAATAAGACATTCATGCTCAGAAAGTTTAAAAGAAATGCCTAAAGTTGACTCAGCCAGGAAATAACACTAGAGTTGGAACTGAGGTTATTTGACCCATTTCTATTATAACAATTTTTCCCTACCTAGTCATGAAGTCAGGATACAAGTAACACAGCATTTTGCATTAATATTTTATGAACTAAATTGTTTAGAGGGAGATGTTAAGGTTATAAGTAGAAGATGACAAGTGAGTTTTATATGAGAATTGTGTTTCTCTGGTCACAGATAATGGGTAACATAGTACTTAAAATAGTGACAATTTCTTGGATGAATTACTCACCACTTATTTTCAGTGTTGAGAATCAATCCAAGGCTTTTCATAGGCTACACAAGTTTTCTTCCACCAGTCATGTTCTCAAGCCCTCCAAAGACAATTTTGCTGTGTACTTATATATTGAGATTATCTTCATCCATTGAGGTAACTGATTCTACAAGACTAATTCTTTCACTAAATAAGGGTGTAGGTCACAGAACCAATCTGCTTAGCATTTGAGAAAACATTTATTACCTATGAACAGAGACTTACTGTATTACCATGACAAAGATATACACCCACTGTACTTTTAGAAATGGAACATTTTACAAAATGCATAGATATTCTAAATCTATCAAAGCATAGTCTGACCCTGCAAAATTAGACCTCATCCACAATTAATATCACACTAATATCATTTTCCAACCCCCTTTATCTAGAGCCAATTATAACCTACTAAGTCTTCCTAATTTACTCCAGAGGAGCAAGTTTCCAAATTGCATGACAAAAATTTGCATAATTAAGCAAAAATAGAGTGTAAAATGTGTGACATCTTGCCTCTTGTTGTTTATTGTCTCTTTCCCTGTTTTGTGCATATAACATCCACAATAATCATCCATTGACTACCTTATTTGATGATGAATGAATGCTTATGGAACTTCTGTGCTTTGATATCTCAATTATTTTATCCACTTCTTGGATTTAAATGTAATGACACACCCATTCTGTTCTCCTTTCCTTTCTCTCCACATCTTTTCTATCTCTTTTCTTTACTCATGAATGAGATTAATCAGGTGAATGAAAATCCTGAAACTATCTAGATGCTATGTGTTCAATGGCATGTGTCATGTGTGGTGGTTTGAATAAGAATGATCCATATAGGCTCATGTATTTGAATGCATTGTCAAGCACTACTTGGAAAAGATTGTGAGGTGTGTGTGTGTGTCCTTTTTGGAGTAGATGTGGCCTTGGAGGAAATGTGTCACTGGTGATGGACTTTGATGTTTCAAAAGCCCATGTCAAGCCTAATGGCTCTCTTCTGCTGTCTATGGATATAGATGTAGAACTCTCAGCTACTTCTCCAGCACCATGTTCTATTTGTGAGCCATCATGCTCCCCACCATGATGATAATGAACTAAACCTCTGAAACTGTAAGCAAATCTTAATTAAATGCTTTCTTTTTTAAGAGTTATCTTGGTTGAGGCTGGAGAGATGGCTTAGAGGTTAAGAGCACTGGCTGCTCATCCAGAGGTCCTGGGTTCATTTTCTGGCAACCACATGGTGGCTCAAAACCATCTATAATGAGATCTGGTGCCCTCTTCTGGCAGGCAGGGATATATGCAGACAGAACACTGCATACATTATAAATAAATAAATCTTTAAAAAAAAAAAAAGAAGGTGCTTTGGTCATGGTGTCTTTTCACAGCAATAAAATAGTGACCAATTCAGAAATTGGTACCATGAACTAGGCTTGACATTGCTAACAGAATGTGAAATCTGGGAGTTTGGATTAGGAAAGTAGTTGAATGCGTTGAGCAAGGCTTAATGGGTCATCCTAGTGGGAACATGGAAGACAGTGCTGAGGGTGATTTGAATTATTAGGGCACTGCTCAAGAAGTTCCAGAAGGGAAGGATGTTAGAAAGTGGCCTGGAGACCATTCTTGTGATATTTTTGCGAAGAATGTGGCTGCTTTTTGTCCTAATCCTAAAAATCTGCCTGAGGCTAAATTGAAGAGTTTTCAATTAAAGGCATTAGCAGAGGAGATCTCAAGACAGTCTGGCATTTAGAGTGTTGTATCATTACTAGTATCTACCCTTATGCAGGTCTATAATGAAAAGGAGCAATGTGAGCAAGGAAAAATAAAAAAATGTACAGTTTGAGGAGAAAAGGAGAAAAGGAAGTGTAATGGAACTAAGGCTAGTGCTCAAAGAGATAAAAAGCTTAAAGAAAATCATGATGTTCAATGGAATAAAGGGAGTGGTGACCACAGGGTAAGCTTCCAACTTTCGAAAAGGAGTTAAAGAAACATTTAAGCAGTGAAGGA